CTGGACAAATACTAGAAGCCCATGTGCATCTGTCTTATAACCACTACACAGTCTGTAGGTCTTACAACCATCTCACAGTCTTTCACACTATGAAGTGAACAGATGAGTTACCTATACGCTAAACAAATAATCAAATCTGGTCTCTCTGTCTTTTTTACAAATGTATTCAAAATTACCTTTCTCCTCTGTGAGCCCTTAAATGGGTGAAAGTTGCAGTTATTTTCTAATACCTGTGCTGTTAGAAATGCTATGGGAGATATAGAGATACAGAAAATATTTGGCTATTGGACAAGAACATCATAGAGTTAAGTAAACAAAAAATATACCAATTCAAAGTAAGACACTTTGGAGACCTGACTAGGACAAAACATTCCTTCCATCATGCCTTCCCCCAAACAAATTCACACTGACCTAAAATACTAAGGTGAGACAAAGCACAGCTGCTGAAGAGAAAGCATGTAGCACACTTACAAGGAGACCGGATGCTGAACATGTTCAAGTCTCTTAATGAGGGAAAAGTGTGGCTATCTTGGAAAGCAATAAAAACATTGTCAGAATAGCTGTTCTGAAGAAACAGGTATGGGGATGCTTGGAAAATCTGACACCTTGAAGCCCAAATACTGGACACAAGAATTCAGTTCATGGAGGACACTTTGCTGAAAAGAGATTCATTTCTTTCACATAAGCAAGGCTCTCTAGAACCTGAGGTTCATTAGTCTGAATACCACTGAACCACTCATTTGCAGAATATGGTCTCTGGGGTAGGCTGAGTCTGAGAGAGAGTAGTATTCCCTACAGTAACAGACCCAACTTCATAGCCCCAGGGGAGCCCCACAGACCAGTTTTTGAGTGTGGAGCTCCCAAAGCCACAACAATTAATTCTGCCTTCATCAGGTCCAGCCCATGGCCTGGCCCTGAACTCTGGGTCTGGCCCACAGGGCTGGAATTTGACACCCCTGATGTAGAGCAGGTCTGGTCCAAGGGGTGGTGGTGAAGAGAAGACTAGGTAATAGAATCAGACAAAGTGAATAGCCAGTAGCAGGGTGGGAAAGGGACCCAAAGGAAAGAAAGTGAAGGGAAGGAACAGTTCACAAACTGGTATAAGACTGGCACAAACAGGAGAGGACAAAACATGACGTTGGTCTCAGTAACAACTCAGAGCAGCTTGGAGTCCCTGCTCTCCTGGAGGCAATCACAGCTGCATATTGCAAGTCTGGGCTTTGATTTTTTGCTGGTTATAAGTATTGGAAATGTGCAATGCTGCACTAATATAGAACCTCTTTCTCATCCAAATCCCGCTCTGTGTCCTCGTGGCGTTTCACAGATAGGGAACAAAGGACTTGGGGGTCAGTCAGTTTGCCTAGGATCCTACTGAACCCTAAGTGTTGGAAATTGTAAAGCTAAAGTGCCTGACACTTGCTGTTTGTGTTCTCCTCTAGCAGCGTGTTGTTGTTAAAATTGACTTGTAGCTTAAATCATCCACCCCCTATATTAAAGACTTTTTTTCTTGCCCAATACTTTGACCTTAAGGAAACCTATATTAACAGTGACTAATCAGAAGTGTATTTGAATTAGATCGGCTCCCAAGATGGCTTGGTAAATGCAGCAAGAGTTTAGAAAATATCTTTGCATTCCAACTGACCCCTTGAGATCTACTGGGGTGTGGTCCTTGCCAACAACATACTAGAAGGCCAATCAGGAAAGGTTAAATTCTCAGACTGCAGGGAAATGAGTTAATGTGTATTAATATGATACATGTCCTGGTGAGAGAACTTGCTGAAGGACTTCCAGATGTATAATGCAGACCCCAGAGAGTCAGGGCAAAAAGCAGAGGGTAACCAGTATTCACGTTAAGCAAGATTGAAGTATCCGATAACCTGTATTGTTAAGTGAGTAAATCCAAATCTGATGCTTGGGTGCTTACCCAAACAGGCAAGTACTAATAAGGATGAAATACACCTCTGTTACTGTCAATTCTAATCAGCTTTATTCTCTGTCTTTAATCTGAGTTTAAGATAACTAGTGTACCAGTTCAGCATACTAATCCCCCCAGTCTTCAGGCACACTGTGGCCCTTTTCTGTGAGTTGCATTGCAGCTGGGGATATGATTACAATGAATTTCCTGTTTTCAGACTTGCTGATGTGGTGGGTAATTTTCCTTCAGAGGAAGGGGGTGGGGCACTGCACGTGCAGCTTTGGAGCAGGAGCATAGTAAGCTCAGATGCTGCCTTAAGGTTCTTTTAGCCCCTAAATCAATGGTAGTATCTGATTGCTTGGTAGTGAGCTGCATAGCTGCCCTTCACCATGACTGCAGCTGTCAGTGGGTGGCTACAAAATGCTCACTAATGGAGGGTCCTCCATCAGCGTGGATGCTAAGACAAGTAAGCAGACTGTAATCACGGCTCAATTAGAATTGCAAAGTACATCCCATCACTGTGGAAACTGTAGGAGGAGAACTGCCAGCTGTACACAGGGGAGTTCTCAGAATCTGTCCACACAGCAAATGAAGGTGTGACTGTAGCACCCCCAAAGCAGATTTAACCTAGCTAGCTAGCATGGGAAAAAGCCTAGCTTGCTCTGAAGACACAGGAGTACTGGTTTCAGTACAGGCCAGCAGTCATCTCTTGTTTATACTATCACTTTTATTTTGCCATTCAGACAGCTAGCCTGTGGGGGCAGAAGAGTTAATATACACAGCAAAGAAAGGCAGACCTTGGCACTGGTGGGAAGGGGTGTATGGGGTGGATCAACAGAACTGCTGGATGAATGAAAACCAACCCACCCTCAAAAGTAACAAGCAACTGAAAACAGTCTAGCTCAGGGGTGGACAAAATATGCCCTGCGGGCCAGATCCAGCCCACCAACTGATTGTATCCTGCCCATGGGCATGCGACCACCAACTCACGGAATCTGGCGCATAGGCACCTGGTCGCTCCGGCTCCTGCCACCGTGTGGTGCCATGCAGGTGGAGCTGTTTCTGCCACGCTGGGTGGATAGGTGGGACTACTTCCACCCAACTGTGGACCCAGGCAGATGCCCTGATCCTCACCCAGAACTTGCTAGCCACATCCACAGCTGATGCCACCACCTGCCCAGGGCTGCTTCTGCCATGCTGGGCAGGTGGCAGAGTAAGCTGTGGATGGGTCCAGCAGGTTACAGGTTGGGGTGGGAATCGGGGCATGCTACAGCTTCAGGAAAGAGGGATAGAGAGGGCTGACTCTTGAGAGGATAGCAAACTCATTAATTGGCCCTCTGGCAAAGATAAGTGCCCACTCCTGCTCTAGCTCCTACATCAAAGGGGACAATTCATTGGACCAGCTGTTCCTATCCAAAGAACAAATGGTACCTCACCCAGAATTGTCTTTACACCTTGTGGTCTCTCACCATCTATGTGGGAGCTAGTCACTTCTTGCCCTCGGTCTAAACTCAGAACCATGGGCAACTGGTACCTCCTGAGTCGGGGGGGCGGGGGCAGGGGGGGCAGTCAGCGACTGGGGGGAGGGTCCCCCCTGTGGCCAATCCTGCCGACCCGCAACTGGCAGTGGTGTGCCGCTAGCACTTCCAGGCATAGGCAACTGGTAAGGGGTGCATGGGGGTGCACATGCCCCCCCGACAGGGCCGGTGCCCCCCCCCCCATAGCCAACACTGATGCTGTCGGTAGGGCTGGTGTCTCCCCTGCCAGGGCCGCTGCTGTTGGCGGCTTCTGTGGGTCCCCTCCCAGACCCGGTAGGCACCAGTCACTCATGCTCTTGGGTCGGTGGGATCGGCTGCGGGGGGACCACTTCTCCTGGCATGCTCCCCAGCTGGCGTGCTCGGACGGGGGGAGGGGGGCACCAGCACTCTTGCCTGCCCTGCCTGCCTGGGAACACTTCTGTCAGGTGTGTATATGCACCCCTGTGCACCCCCTACGCATCACCACTGTTCAGAACCATGTCAACACAGGCCCAAGTCAGTGAAATATAGAAGAGTCCAAGAACTTCAATTTGGCTCTCCTGTCTGGCCTTGCTGCAAGGGGAAAGAAGGGTTGCAGATGACTCAATGAAGAGGAAAGAAGAATGAGCAATAATAAAGAATGGAATCTAGCATAATGCACAACTAGTGTGAACAAAGCAGAGCCAGGAAGCCATGTATGTCATAGAAACATAACTGGTTTCACTCTTGCCTCTGCTGGAATGAGTCTACTTAGTGATGCCGATTAATGGGGAAAGGAGTGTTCTGAACTGCTCAAAAATAGTGTTGGGTTGAATTCTGCACTCCTTAAACTCAGTGGGAGCTCTGCTTCATTTAAGAAAGATAAATTCAGCCTTTGCGTGACTTACGTGGCACATTATTGTGGCACATCTTCATTAAAAGCCCAAGTTCAGACAAATGTTGCACAATCACAGAATCATGTATGCTGAAAATGTTCAAAATGCCGGCATGTGTGTCAGACAAACGACACGCTATGTGGCTTTTATTATTTTTACTAACGTTACAACACAGCTGCTTCCTGTATATTACAAATGAACTTTTTTCAGGCAGGGGCTGGGGTGAGAGGAGGTGATTCTGAGACATTCGCCAACTGCGTGTGCTTTTTAACATCTGGGCAAAGTCAAACAATTCAGCTGTATTTAACTAATAGAGGGGCTATGCAGCTTGAAAGCAACAGCAGGGGTAGTTCTGGACTTTACAGGGTGGTCCAGAGAGATGAGATCCCCCACTCTAAATTCAATGAACCCCTGTGTTCAGACAAGTTTTTCCCTTCATTCCCTGAATGCCAGATCCATTTTCAAGAATAGGACTGCTCAGGCACTGCTCTTAAAGCATACCTACGTGTATATTTCTCATCTATTTAATACACAATGACAAAGGGGAGGTATTTAAAACAACAGTCCTTGACAAAGCCTGGATTTAATTAAAATGTTAGTACTATGAATCAGACCAAAACAAAGAAATGTCCAAGAAATATAAATCTTTCCTCCCACTTCCCTTTGACAAAAACATATAGTATTTGGACTTACCGTGGCAGCCCAAGCCACATAACCCAGGAAGGTGACCATTCGCTGTTCTCAGACATGTTCTCACTGGCATTGGGTAGTGCTACATTGCTGCTGTCCCCCTGAGCCTCACATGCTTTCATTTCCAGGGCTTTGAGCATTATGGAGGAGGTGGTGTTTTTCAACAGGGCTACTGCCTCGCTGCGGCTCACACCAGTCAGGTCAATTCCATTCACATTCAGCAAAATGTCACCTGAAGGCCAAGACAGGGCTAATGAAAAGGGTGCAAATACTTTATGATTTTAATTTCTTATTTGAAACAGAAGAGGACTAAGCATTTTAGGACTAAGCCAGCCCTGGGAGCTTCCTACCCATTTAAAATGTTTGTTAATATTAACGTGAAATTAAAGAGAGGCACAATAACATTGAACATAGAGTAACATGAGGGTTAAAATCTTCCTTGAAGTTAAGATGGGCAATGGTATTTTGCTTTGTTTCTTAAATAATACATCTTCTTATACCCTGGATCACAGAAACAGCCTGATGTAACTGCAGAGGAGTATAAGGGCTGCTCTAAACTGTAATCGGTTATAGTGGCCCCATCCCATTCATTATGCACTGAAAGACTACCTTCCTGGCACATAGGCATGCTATCCAGGTCTTCCCCAGTGTAGCCATGTGGAATCTGTGCCAGTCCAGATTTCCCCTACAATAAGGGAATCTTCAGCTGCATATTTAAGGCCATCCTAGTCGCCTCTGCACTCACAAGCAGCACAAATAGGACAGATCATGCCCTAAGGCACTAAAACTTGGATCTTCTCCAGGATGCAGACTACTTCTATGACCTCCACAAGCTAATCATGCCAGAGTTTTGCTGTCTCTAATATAGGGATAATGTGTAGGCTGCCTACTTTACAGGAGTCGTAAGATCTACAAAGTTCACCTCTAATTGATGCTATATTGTTATATTCAGGTATGTTTTCAATCTGAATTTCAAACATAGAGTTATGAGGGTGTAGGTTTTCTCCTTGAGATGTCCAGAACTGAGGACAGCAATTGTAGTAGAATTTCTACAATTTTTTAGCTACACCCCCATGAACCTCCAAGGTACCTCCACTTGAGTGTTCTTTTGCCCCAGGTATTTGATCCTCAGAGACAGGGGTTAGGCATTTAGGCTTCCAGCACACTGAATGTGGAGACCTAGGAGCCACCCAGGATTGTCTAGTTGCTTAGCAGGGAGGAGGAATAGGACTCTGCTCTCTAACAGCCTACTGGCAAGAGCACTTGCTCAGGAAGTGGGAGAGCTGGGTTCCCAGAAACCCAAGCAGAATGGAAGCTTAGCAAGACAGGCAACACTCTACTGTGGGTTAGAGTAGATGATTTTCTGAGGTCCCTTCCAGACCTACTTTTCTATGATTTTGTGATCTTCTTGATTAACTTTATCAGCTTCTTTGGAGTTGGGAGAGTGTGTTACTCTCTCATTCACTTCAACGTGTCTCATTTCTACACTACTGGTACAGATGTAAGATGACACAGAGATGTTCCCACAGTGGCTGAAATAAGGTTCTTTTAAGGAGCTAACTGACACACTGTTCCTGGGGACTCCTATCTGCAAGTATCCAACAATTTCTATCAAGGACCCTGTCTTTTTAAAAACACCTCCAAGGCTTTTTGCTCCCTTCTATTTGACAGAAACCCACATGGATACTGAACTCTACAGGACATGACAGCCTTTTGTGATTCTTGTATTCTTAAGCAGAGGGCTTTGCATTGACCCAATCCCACTGGCCTTACCTGTCTTTATCCTGCCATCTCTGTTGATGACTCCTCCAGGTTCAACACTTATCACATAGACAGGTAAATCCCATTCCCTGTTAGATGCTCCACCTGCGACAGTCATTCCTAGTGACTCTGTGTGATCTTTCCGCACAACCATGACCTTCTCATGACAGGTGACAGCATGAAGGACATTCTGTGGGGGCCAAAGAGCAGGCATAAGTGCAGCATAAATGTATAGCCCTCTGACAGCATTATCATTTATCATCTTTAATGGAAATTAACAGGCAGTTCTACAATGATATCAAAGCACCTGACAGTCACTGAAGCTCACACCTTTCTGTGCAGGTGGCGAATATAAGTACAGGCAGTCCTCGGATTATGACACAATTGGTTTGTGAAAACCGAGTCTTATGTCAAAACGTAACTCGGAACCAATTTTCCCATAGGAAACAATGTTATAAATAGGAGATTGGTTCCTGAATGAAGGCCCAATACCCTATTTTCACCAAAAATAACCCAGAATTTTGTACTCAATCAATTATACATGAGTAACATAGATACATTAATGTATTTATATTGTAAATAGAAACCATATTGATTTTGAAGGACTTCTTTGAGGTGACTTTTGCCAGACTTTTTGAAGGGTTCTTGGCTGGAGTCTTCTCAGGAGTCTTGGCTACAGGTTTTTCTGGAGTCTTGTCTGCTTTCTTAAAGAAAGCATCCCAGGAAGTTTGGAGAGATGTTATCCAGGGAAATGGGCGACACAGCAAACTTGTTCACTGGTGTGGGATCGCGTCAGATCAAGCATTGTAAAGTTAAAACTGATGTCATAAAGTTGAAACAGGGTGTCAATTTATAAACGTTGTAAGTGTGAAACGTTGTAACTCGAAACGTCCTAAGGTGAGGACTGCCTGTAAATGCATTGTATAGGCTTCTACAATGTTGGAGCTATAACCAAAGCATTCCACACTTGGGTGGATAAAGTCAGACACCTCGGCTAAGCATAGACAGTCAAAGGCTAGGGACAGAAATTACACATAAGTTGGTAAAGTGATTGGAAACTGGTTCAAATCTGTAGCACAACAGAAGTTCAGTGCATGTAAACCGCTTTCAAAATGGCTGAAACCAGTCTGAGATAAACCTGGATGGATGTAGTATCAGACATAGGTTAAATCAGTTTATTGAACTTCTGTCCCACATCGCCTCCAGATTCAAGTTAACTCACACTCCCCCAGAATCCCAGGATGCTTTTGACCTCCCCAGCAAACCCCTCCTTGCAGGGTGGGTGGGCTAGCCTTGGCCCAAGCTGTAAGCTCCAGCCAAGCAGGGAGGCATGCTCTAGGGCCTCCATATATATATGCTTCCATAGAATGTTCTGGTAGAAATCGGAGGAGAGAATGTGAATTTAATTCAGAATAATAAGGACTTTTATTGCATGAAGTGTCAGCGGCTTCTGGAGTAATTCATTCATTCCTGATTTTAAAAGATCAAATCTCTGAGACGGCCATATGAAATTTATGAGGTCATTCATCTTTTTCTTACAATAGGAAAAGTTATCCACATGTTACTAGAGAAGTCATCCACATGTTGCCTCGTTTGTTTATGCTTCTTGGCTAAGTACAGACAGTTAAAAAGCCCAAGGCTGAATCAGTTCAATCTTCACAAATTAGTCTAAGCTGTGTAGATTGAACTGATAAGCAAGTGAACAGACATTCAATTTTCATTCTGGAAATGTTGCTACATGCCTGCAGTGGCCCAGGCTAGAAACCAGGGAGCACTAGAACATGCCTCCCTGCTCAGCAGGAGCAGACAGCTTTGGCTAAGACTAGCCTGGTTACCCTGAAAGGTGGGGTTTGCAGGGGAGCTGAAAAGCAACCCAGGATGCTGGGGGACTGTAGGACAGAAGTTCAATAAACTGATTTAACCTAAATCAGTTGTCTGATACTACATCTATCCAGGTTTATCTGAAACCGGTTTTGGCCATTTTGAAAGCACTTTATGTGCACTGAACTTCCGTTGTGTTACAGATTTGAACCAGTTTCCGATCACTTAATGATAATTTCTTATATGTAATTTCTGTCCCTAGCCCTTAAATACAGGTGACGCAAATAAGTATAAACATCAGATGTTGGAGGAACAAAAGGTAACAGGCTCTAGAATGTAACACTAGGGACAGAGCATCTTCCCAGTGTCCAAATAGAACTTCTTCCTCCTTCTGTAACCTGAATATGTCAGCGCTCCCAATCCCTATGGAATACTTCATGCTTACAAAAGAAACAAGGATTGAGCAAAAACGATCTAGAGTGAAACATTACTGAACAACTTTAACTTCCCTAAATATTTCATATGCCTGGGATTTTCTTCCACCCTCTAAAGCAGGAGTAGCACAGCATTTCAAATGCATTAAGCCATACTAAAAAAAGATTTCGCCATTCACACACATGACCTCACACCCCTAATACGCAAAATAATCTATAAATCTCACCCATGGTTATGCAAATCTCATTCCAGCTACGTAAAATTCAAGCAAGACATTCCACTTCAACTCCCTGGCCAACAGCACAGAAAACAGAGCAGTCAAATCTATGCCTGTTTCGCAATAGCTAAAATGAACTGTGAGGAAAGACAGCACCAAGAGATTTGTGTGGAAGGAGGGATAAAGAGGGAACAACTCCAATGGGAAGTTTGCAGATAAATGGAAGATGGGCTCAAATATGCGTATTATTAACAGAACTTTTCTTATGAAAGGCACGATTGGAATGACAAGACTATAATTACATAAATTCATCTCAAGAGTTCTCCAGTTATGCAATCAAACCAACAAAACAAAACAAAACAACTCCCAAATCATATTTCATGCATAAAATAAGTAGAGAAAACTGCAAATTGATGATGTTTCATTCCAAGAAAATAAAATAATGAAATTCCACTGAAAATGCTCCCTTCTTCATTCATGGGGACAGTAGTTGCAAAGATAGTAGTAGTTTTGGACACTCTGTACCCTAGTACCTCTGACTGGAATGGAACACGGTGTCAGAAAATTTGGTGTTATGGCTTTAGGAAGGGGATTTAATTCCTGCAAAACTTTGACATATTTTTTCATGTTAAACACACAAAGCTCTAATGACTCCAACCCTGCTTCAACTTTTTATGTAAAGTTGTTCTTCCACCTTGATGATGGATTGATTTTTCACTGAAAATGGCCCATTATAAAGGAAACTAAGTACTAGTTTGCTACAGGAGGACAGTTGTTTTGTAGTAAAATAAAAAAGCTGTAATGAAATCATATTTTGGAACAAAATATTAATTATATCCTGTAATTCAAAGCATCCTTGTTATTTATGCTGTGCTCTTTCTGGCTCGGACATCTACATGTTACTGATAAAACACATTGTTTATGTTTTATTTCTGAAAAACAGCGTAGACATTATCAGCTTTTAAAAGCGATGCCCAGGAACAAATTGTCATATGTTACAGATCAATGAAGAATGATGAAAAAACGTCTTTTGTACACACAGTATTCGGCAATATTCAGCTTCCCTTGAAGATTCCCTGCAGCATCTTATTTTTAACATGATCGTAGATGAGAATTTTGGAGGCTCAGCTGAGGGGAAGATAGCAATGAAAGGAAATGAAAGCCTTTTTAATAAACACATGTAGTGCTTTCATGGAGGTATTACTGATAATGAGTAAACCAGTTAAAAGGCCATGTTTATCAGTCAATACATTTTAATACATTCTCTTCTAAACAACTGCCCTTTTTCATCATTTTGAAATGACCTGGGAGGCCATGGCAGTGAAAACCTAACAGCTTGCATTGTTGTTTTTTTTAAGTTTACTGTGAAATAAATATTTATAGCAGCTATCACAACCACAAAGTCCTGACGCGTGTCTCTCAGGCAATGGACACAGCTGAATCTACTTGGAAAAGATATACTACCTGAAGGCTAACCAACTAATACAGATACAGAATATTATGTCCCTGAGCAGCAAGGGCAATGGGTGCAGGTTTTCTGGATTGGACAATGTATAATAAACAACAGGAGTCAGAAAGTAGTTATCATATAGAGACAAGTCATATATCAGAGGCCAGTGCTATACCCCCACTGAAGTCAATGGCAAAACTCCCACTGACTTCAAAGGAGTGGGATCCAGCCTATTTATGTATTATAAACACTTTTTAATAGTTCTCTTTGCCATACTAAAGAGTGTTTCTGACATCTTCTTTATTCTGGGTCCAGGCAATGGCAATGACTCTGACTATACATTCCCTTTATCTTTATACACGGGAGAACAGCTTAAAAACAATTCTGGACATGAACAATCATATAGCTCACTATATGCAAAATTCACTCCCACCCCACTGAAGAGGGCATGGTAATCACAGATTGCCTTTCTACTTCATCACTGTTCGGCTGGCTGACCTGCTTTTTCTATTGGCATTGTTCTGAAAGAAATCTCTTTGCAGATGGAAGCAGGATGTCATGAGGGCAAGGACTTGGCCAAAAAAAGTTTCTGAGCCATGATTCAATAAAGGAGAATGCTGAAGGCTGGAGTTTATTCTTGAAACTGAATAACATGGAAACTTGAAGGCAAAATTCAGCACCTATACTCTTCAGATATGCAGGGGAGAACAGAGACACAGACAGGAACTATGACACTAAAATTCACTCCTTGGAAGGAATGAAGGAAAGAAATAAACAGAAGAAAACCTTGGACTTCAAATCACTGATACTTAAAGTTAATTAACAATTTCTCTATTATAGCTACATTTAATATAGCAAGCTCACTGAGAGCAAGTAAAGAGTTTCAGCAAACCACGCTCCTAAAGGTAATTCCTTTGGTTTCAAACCACAATCAAGATGTACAGTAGATCTAAACAGAAGCACACACTGTTTTGGAGACTGCACAGATCTGCAAGCCCTGAATTAGGGTCTGGTTAAAAAAAACAAACAACACCTTCTCTAATGGCAGCTCAAGCTGAATTTTAAAGACAGTGAATTAAAAGAGTGTGTGGAACAGAATTCAGGCTAAAGACAAAACAGCCCAGACTGATGCTCTCATATCTGACTGAAGAGCAAACACCACAAGAGTGAAGGTACTACAGTGAAGAATTATGGTTACTGCAAATAATCAACCCCATGGGTTTCATTGGCTACTTTTGAATGGTTTGGTCTACTGAATTCCTGTAAGGGGTCCTTCTCAGCAACAGCTAGATTCTAGTTACCTGGCATGAAAGCACCTGGATTCAGCTGAGGGAAACAGGAGTGCATGCACACCCAGAAGGCAGACAGAATCATGGTGGTTGCTCTACTTCTCAGAAAATTGAGAGCTAAACAGTGCCAGGGGTATGAGAGAGAGAGTGAGCTGAGTGCTTGGAGAATTGCAGCAATCCCAGAAACATTCTCCATTACAGCCCCTTTCCCTCAGCCTTCCTATGATTCTCAAGACCAGAACTGAGTCTCAACTCTAACTATTCAGTACTCAGCATAAAGAAGTATTGCACTGTGCAGCTAGATAACCTATTTTTCAAACAAGAAATACCCAAATAATTATTCATTGTCAGTAGCTCAGAAACACCACAGAAGCAGCTACAGCAGCTCCTTAAGTGAAATTGCATTAGATGAGAATTAAAAAATAAAGAATCTGAGATCCCCTTTTGCTGTGCAAGGTAGAAACCAGTAGAAGTCATGTGGAGCAGGTGGGGCAACACAGCCTGTTCTCTTGGATTTTAATTACATAGCCACTGCAAAATCTTCACATCAGCCCAAAAATCATGTCAAAGCAACAAAGTAAGGGGCATTAGTTCCAGGGGGAGAGCTGCAGTAAAAACATAGTTCCCTAAATTCCACAAGCCACCACAGCTTCCAAACAACTTCATATGAACTAAGAATTGCCTTCCTGCTGCTTCCTGTACAGGACAGGAAGACAGGGGCTCGAAGTTTGATATAGAATGGATATCTCCAATGGGCAGAATTGTGAGAGGGACACTGGACATAGCAGGTGCTCAGGAATCATACAGTAGTGATATAAGTTAATTGCTGTCACATTCAGAGATCTCCCTGAGGGACTTGAAATCATTATTTCATTAGCAAATAATGACTTGCAGATGCAATATCAGTTAGCCATTTTCTTATGGCAGGCTGGTAGCTGACTTGTGTCATCTCTGCTGTTCTGGACAGCACATATGGTTATAATCTCACTATAGCATGACAGAAGAATTATGTTTGTGAACTTTATACTAGAGGATGGACCACAGGCATGAAGTATAATTTCTGATACTTATAACAGCATAAAATATGGGACCAACCTTTTCTCCTAGATGACCGCAGAATTGGACTATAAAGACACTGCTGGCTGCCTGGCAAGCAGGACTTATTCTAGCTGTCTCTGTACGCTGAGGGCTGTCTCTCTGAGCTTTGGATTATGCTCTAGCACAGATCACCTTCTAGGTATTCCATCATATTTGCTGTCACCCAGCACGCACCCTTTGTACATCTCCCTCTGCCTATTCCCATTTCTCCTGACTTCCGTTAAGGGTGGTGGATAAGCTGTAGCTCTGCTTTCCATGTACTGCACTTTTAAAGTTTCTCTACGGAGGAACAACCAAGGAAAATTAATCTGAATTTAGAACAATGTAAATGTTAAAAGGGCACAAGTTGAACCTTCCATTGGATACATTTATTTATAATTAACTGGTTTTAATTCAGTTTTTTGTAACTCGCTTGGACAGCAAATTAAACTAAAATGAATTAAAGCCACTTGTACTCAGAATGAGAACATCCATACAAGGGCTTAACGTGGTTTCAGTCAATGGTGCTCAAGGTTTTTTCCCTGCAGGCCAAATGAATGATGTGGAGGCAGTCTGCAGGGCAGATCAGGCCCCATGCCACCCCTATGTGCCACTCCTGCCCAGCTCCACATGCCAGGATCTTCCTCCCATGGGAGCCCCAGGTGTCAGGTGACACCGCGCCAAGGGCCAGATTTGACCCACAGGCCAGGGGTTGAGCACCCCTGGTTTAAGTTCAAGTTACATATTTAGTTTTCACCCTCAAGAAGACAAATGCTTAAATGCCAGGATTCTACCTGCCTGGCTGCCCACCTACTTGATGGATGAACCATGCACTACTGCTGTCTCCTCCATGGAGGCTGTATATGTTCTTTGTCATTTTCCTTACTCTAAAAATAACACCTGGATCACAGAGCACTTTACAAACTAGGTAAGATAATTGTGTCTGTTTTGAAGATGGGAACAAATAGAGGTGAAGTACTTTCCCAAGGCTACTGAGCAGCTCAGTGCCAGAAACAGTGACAGGTCCCAGGCCATTGAGCCATCCTGCTTCTAATAATAATCTCTCATCTAAAATTAAACCTTCCACTGAATGTTCATGCCTTGTCCTACAAATACTGGGAACCATAATGTTCATTAACACCTGAAAACATGTTCTTTTTACAAGGTCCTTGTTGGGTTGGTTTCTGTCCGTGTTGTGACCTATACTGAACTCATCCTGCATAAGGGAAACAGGGCACAGTACCTCCTCCATTTTGCTTAGTACAGGGATGGTTTGGTTAAATGTATGTTTCTTAAAACTGCAGAGGTACTTCTGAGTCAAGTCAATACACATAACATCAAGTAACTTGTTAAAAAGCACGGGGTGGAAAGGGATGGAAGTAGTCTGGACCAAGTTCTGTGCGGATATATATGCAGTACATGCCCACTGGAGCCAATTCCTG